CCGTAACTCCTGGGTTTGAGAGGGTCCCCCTGTTCCAGATGAAGTCTGTCACCTGGTGTCCTTGGCCGGGCAGAGCCCAGGCCCCAGGGTTGGCTGGCCCATCTCCTCCCGCCTCTTCTGACTGTGGCCCTGGTGGCCACAGAGGACTCTCCAGTGGCAGCACTCAGCCTCACCTGTGAACTTACCAATGCACATTCCCAGGCCCCACCCAGACCCTGAGAATCGGAGAATCTGCAGGCCAGGTTTTTAGGCTTTGACGAGGACCTGAGTGCTGCTGGTTTAGACTCACCGGTGCACCCAGGCAGGTGGGTGCCACTCAGGAGCCCGTGGCCACCGCAGCCACCCCGTGTGGCGCCATGATGGGCCCAGTGCAGCACACATAGCTCAGGAATGTAGTTCCGAGTGCCTCAAGCTGTCAGAGGAGGCTCTGCCCAACAGGGACACCCAGGCTGTCTCCAGACCCTGTCGAGCATGAGCATGGTGGTCAGGAGGTGCGTGGTCAGTGTGATGCTGGGGGAAGGAGCGTGTTGACTGGACCCCTGGCAGGAGGGGCAGGTTAGTGGCCTGGTGTTGCCATGACAGCCACAGACGGGGCACAAACAGCAGGAATTCAGTGCTGGAGGCCAAGGTCTCTCTCCACGTCACGCAAACGGCTCCTCCCCATGTTTGCACGTAACTGTCCTCTGTGTCCTGATCGCTTGTTATTAGACTCGGCCCCTCCCACCCCCCCACATGAGCTCGCCCTACCTCGTTCATTTGCAGAGGCCTCATGTCCAAGTATAGTCTCTGAGCCGCTGGGGGCAGCACTCCCAGGTGAATTTGGCTCCTAATAGGGAGGGCTGCAGATGCTTCCTTGAGGGGCATCCTCACACGGGCTGCACACCCCAGTCTGTCCTCCGTCAGCTGACGCCCTGCTCCCTGTGACGGGAGTGTACTTGAGAACCGTTTGTATTCTCCTGGCGACTCAGGGTTTGGGGGACCCTGCCAGATGTGCAGGGCCTGCCACAGAGGCCAGCGGGGGCCTTGCTGCCTAATGCTGTCTGGGAACTTGGATCTGAGCCCCCAGGAGCTGCCTGGGCTTCCCCCGGAATGCGGGACAAGAACCAGCCCCACAGCAGGCTGTGCCAAGGGGATGTGCCAATGGGGCAGGTTGGGTGGCCCCCTTGAGGGCAGTAGGCACCAGGCCTGGGACGAAGAATGGGAGATGGGGTGGTGGAACGTGGCTCTGTGGGGATGGGGGGGGGGAACAGGAACTTAGGAGAAAGTGACTTCCAAGTCCTCCACTGTCAGGCTGGGGCTGGAGCGGAAGACACAGAGGGGCCCTTGGAGGTGGTGGTGCAGTGCTGAAGGACAGGTGCCAGGAGCTCTGGGCGCCAGCTCCAGATGGGGGAGCATCCTCTCCAGCCACCTGCCCCTTGTCCGCCCCTGCCCCCAGAGGATGGTTGTGGAGCAGGCTGCCCAGAGCTCCAGCCCACCTGATCTCCGTGTGCAGTATCTCCGCCAGATCCATATCAACCATGAGGTGAGGCCCCTCCAGCTCCCGTCCCCGGAGCCTCCCACCAGCCTGGTCAGGGAGGACCATCCCTGGCTGGGATCCTCTGGGAACACAGGTGTCACCCGGCACAGTGAGGGGCCTGCCCAGTCCTCAGCGTAGCGTCGGGGCAGGGGGCGGGGTGGGTGCGGTTGCTTCTGTCTCCCGCCTTGCACCTCTTGCCAGTCCACTTTCACTAGGCCCCTGCTGTCACCGGGGGAGGGGGGCCTGGCTGCATGTCTCCTGCATTCCTAAGTCACCTGCCACATCCCAAGTAGGATTTGTGCATCATGGGTGTCCCCCAGGGGCCATGCCCAGCAGGGGGGTGGGGGCTCTGAGCTCTTGCCACCTGCCTCCACCTGCAGACTCTGCTGCGGGAGGTGCAGGCCCTTCGGGACCGGCTGTGCACAGAGGATGAAGCCAGCTCCTGTGGCACCGCCGAGAGGCTCCTGCAGGTGTACGCGCAGCTCCGGAGCCCCAGCCTCCTCCTGCTGTGACACCTCATGGGCCCCGCCCCCTGCCACAAGCCAGGTGCCCTCGTGGCTTTACGGAGAGACACCCAGGGCACGAGAGGCTACTTCCCGCCTCCTGACCCTGGCTGTGGCTGTGGGGTGGGGGAAGGCAGGTGAGCTGGGCCACTGAATGGGGCCCGGGACCCGCGACTGCTCCAGGGCGTGTGTAAAGCGCGTTCACAGGCACGGGGGCGGGGGGGGGGGGCTACGTGCGCCTGGGGCACTGGGCTCTGCCCTTGCGGCCCCGTCCGCCCTGGCCCGAGCCACCCCACAGCTTCCTCTCCCTTGGACAGCCGCCCATGGCTCCCCGCAGCACCCGGTCGAGCTGGGCAGTCTCTGGCCTGGAGCCCTGGGACTGGATCAGCGGCCTCCCCGCCCCGCAGAAGTCGGGCCGCAGAGAAGGTTTCTGGGGGTCAGGACTTGTGGGTTTGTGTCTGTGACCGTTGCTCTTCCCACCGCCCCGCTGCCTGCCCACCCATGCGCAGACCCCTTTGTCCCCCTCAGGGCCCCTCAGCCCTGCGTGTGCTGCTGCTGAAGCTACCAGCTGGGACGCCGCCCCCTGTGGCTCCCACCCTCACCCAGTAGGTGCTCCCGGCCGGGGCTGCGCCCAGCGCCCAGCACTGTGCATTGTTTCCAGGGCCCCTCACGGTGGGCTGCAGCCCCCCAGCTGCCTCCCTGTGGTGCCGGTGCAGCTAGCAGTGGGGGGGTGAACCCCCTTTGGACTTGACATGGTGCTGTCCTGCGCACGCGGGAGCTGCGAGGCTCCTCTGCTGCAGAACAAGTGTGCTCTCTGGGTCGAGCTGCCTCGGCTTCTGGGTGTGTCTGTTTGGGGCGGCCGCTCTGAGGTGCATTTCTGGGCCTCCCCAGGGATGTGCTTGGATGAACCCTGCCTTGGTCTTTCCACGGTCGTGGGGGCCGGTAGGGGTCCCCCAGCACTGGGGTGAAGTGCCCACCTGGCCTGCGGGGCATGCGAGTCCCTCAACCCCAAGGAGGGAGAGGGGCCGGTGGGGAGTCCAGGTACGAGTCAGGAGAGTGGGTGGCCGCCACACAGACTGCACGCCGGAGGTTGGGCGGTGCTGGGCACGGATGCGGGGTGTGGGCCGAGCGGCGCTGGAAACATGTCCCCCAGCCCCGGGCTTCACTGGGCTGCTCCTGGGCCCCACTCCCCACACAGGCAGCCTCGCTCGCTCCCGGCTCCTGCCGACACGGGTAACCCTGGAGAGGCGGGAGCACTCGTCCTCCGCGGGGCGGAGATGGGCGGAGACGCAGCCGTGGGGAGGGGTGCTCCCCCTGCCTGCTGGCAGGAGGCCCCTGGTGGGGCGGGGTGGGGCGGGGCCGTCACGGGGGGCCCGCCACCTGGTCTCCAGAAGAGGAGACCCACAACCCGGACACCTAGCCGGCTGGGAGGAGATAAAGTGGAATCTTGTGAAACCTTCATGAGCGAGGGGAGACGGGGGGGGGGGGTGAGGACAAATGGGACACAGGACAGAGCTCGGCCGGAGCTTCCCTGGGAGCCTTGTGCCGGGGTGCCCGGTCGGCGCCCCATCAGGGACAAGACGCCACACTGAGCACCAGGGGTCCCTCAGCCGGTGCCCGCCGTGCGTGGCTCGCTATCCCCCACACAGCCCCGGCCTCTCTCCTCCCAGGTGCAGGGGCGTCCCTACTGCCACCGCAGCTGGCCCCTCTGGGGACCCCGGGGCACTGCTCCCTGCCTCCCCTCCCCCGCTCAGCAAGGGTCTGAGGCCAAGTGCACCCTCTGGCAGAGGTCAGCAGAGGGCAGTCCTCACGTTACTGGCGGCAAGCCCTGGGCGGGTGAGCCCCCAACCCTCCTGCCCTGGACGCCACCAGGGGGCAGCACAGGCTGTGGCTCCGGCAGCCACCTGTCTCCTCTGCCGCCTCTGGGCTCTGGTGTCTGGTCCTCGAAGGGTTAACCAAGCCCACCTTGACCCCTGGGTCCACTTGGGTCCAGCTCCTCTGTCCTTAAGGCGGGGGTGGGGCGTGGGCAGTGAGGTCAGGAGCAGGCGGGGCTGAGGAGGGCGCTGGGGAGAGGCTGGGGTGGGGGGTCCCTTCCTCCCCGCTCTGGGCACGTCTGTTCTGCGCTCCCTGCCTCGCAGGCCCTTCCCAAAGCACCCAGTCCCCACTGGGCCACGCTGGCTGGACTCCCTTGGAGGGGGTTTTCAGGCCCCAGGCGTGGGGAGGGAACTTGGGCGTCTGGTCTCGTCCTCCGTTCAGGCCCTAGGCCACATGGCCGTGTCCCACCCCCTCTCCCTGCCCCCAGGTTCCACGTCTCCCACTCGGCTCTCCTCTGATGGCCTGGGTCACCCAACCCAGCCAAGAGGCATTGGCCTGGGTGGGGGTCCCCGGGGGCTGGCGAGTGCCTAGATGCCGGCTGGTGGACCACAGACCTTGTCTTGGCATCCATCCTGCTTGGGGCACGGCGGGTGGAGGCTGTCCGGGGTCTGTGGGGGGTGAGAGCCACACGGGTGGGAGTGGGAGACCGGGAGCCCCCTGTCTGGGCCGAGAGCGGCCTTCTCCCCACGGTTGGCCACTCACACCCTGTTTGGGAGGGGTGGGGTCGCTTTCGCGTCAGGTGCGCGGGGGATTCCCTAAGACCCTGTCCCCAGGGAGGAGAGCCGTCGGGGGGTACCGCATCCGCAGACCCTGTGAGCAGCCTACCCCCCACCCCGGTTCCGCTCGGTCTCCGGGAGCCGCTGTGCGGTGCCCGCACCCCAGGGGGTGCCGGGGTGCCCCTACCCACAAGGGGACGGGGTGGGGCGGGGGTGTCCCGCCCGTTGGACCCGCCTCCCGGCCACGCTCGCCTGCCCTGAGGGACGGGGAGGTGGAGGGCCACGGCCGGGACCCCCCCCCCCCCGGGGCAGAGGCGCCGGCCCTCCCCGCGCGAGCGGCGCCACGGAGCCCGCCAGCCGCTGCGTCACAGACACGGTTTAATGGGAGGACGGGCGCGCCGCCCGCTCAGTACTCCCAGAGCGCGAGCCCGGCCGGCGTGTCCGCGTCCGCGCGCAGCAGCCCGGAGGCGCCTCCGCGCAGGTACTTGCCGCTCCCCGCGCGGATGGCCAGGCGGCCGCGCTCGCGGAACTCGAAGAGGAAGTCCTCGGCGCGCTCGCCGTCGCTGCACACGCTGCCGTGGCTGCCGGTGTACCAGAACCCGCCGCCGCGGCCTGGGGGCGGGCCGGGGTCGGCGGGGGGCCTCCCCCCAGCCCCCCCCCCCACCCGCGCCCTGCGCTCCGCTGCCCCGCGCCCCACGCACTCCGGTCCGTACCTCGGATTTGGTAGGCGCCGTCGCTGAAGCTCAGATGGAAGATCTCGTAGACGGAGCGGTTGGTGTCCAGCTGGTTGGAGCCACGCCGGTGGCAGATGAAGCCGTCCAGGCCCCGCAGCACGAGGATGGGCCGATTGATGAGCTTGAGGATGAACTGCTCGTCCTCACCTGGCGGGGAGTAGGGGCTGAGGGGCCACTGCCTGCCCACGGCCTTCCTGGGCTGGGTAGGATGGGTGGGGCCTGGGGGCAGAGGGGGTCCATATCTGCCCTTGCCATGACCTCATGTGACCTTGGCCAGAGGCCTGCTGCCACCAAGCCCCAGGTTCCCCAAATATACAGTGGAGACAAGTTCTGGGCTGTGACTGCTCCTTGATGTCCACAGTGATCATCTTGACCAGCAAGTGTGACTCCTGCCAAGGGCCACCTGGGCAGTTGCACAGGGAGGAGGGGCCAGTTCTTAGGTGACAGGGGTCTGTGGGCAGAGGGCCCAGCCCCAGTTCCCTGGGACTGAGGAGTGCTCACCCACAAAGTCGCTGGTGGCCGCCAGCTGTCCGTTCTTCTTCATGCACACATAGCGCCCATTACTGGCCTTGAGGGCCACCCGCCGGCCACGCCACTCCACCTCAAACATGGTGTTGGCAGAGCTGGGAAGGTCAGGGTAAAGTCCCCTCAGAGCAGCAGGACGTGGGGGAGCTCAGGGTCAGACTTTCTCATCCTCCTCAGGCCCAGCACCAAGCCCCGGGGGGAGAAGTGGGCACTTGCCTTCCACTGACACACCCACCACCATTAAGAGCCTCCCCT